ATACCTGTAACTGTAACATTGGTCATTTTAATTTTATGGTGTGATTTTACAATTTTTGAGTTTTCACCATAAAATCCTTGATTGTGTTTGCGTTCTAATTAATGCACACCACCAATATATTGTACACGTGCGGAAGTATGCTCGTCTTGTCTCTTCACAGAGCTCATCAGCTCGGAAGAATAAGACCTTATCGCACTCTGATAGCTTTATCTTCAGCCCCTCGGGTTCCTTGTAATAGTTCCGGCGCCACTGGACACCAGAGACTATTACACTTGTCTTCGGGTCGTTTCTCCTCTGAAGCAGTTGGGGGTAATCCCGCCTCGACCTCAGTACTATCATCAGTAGCTCACGCTGACGGGATAACAGAGACTTCTGCTAGAGCAAAATGGGCAGCAGATGCCAGCAGTATAGAGGAACCTCTGACCACGCCCATTGACATAGCAGGAACTCTTCCCCCTCAAGGGGAGCTAGCCAGTATAGGCCTGGGTGGGTATACCCCAGTGGGACTCGTTCAAAACTGTCTCGACTGGATACATTTGAACACCGGGCTCCCCTGGTGGGCCTCTATCGTCGTTGGTACTGTTATTCTAAGAAGCCTTATGTTGCCACTGGTCATCAAGCTACAAGTGAATGCAGCTAGGTTGAATCAGATAAGACCTGAAACTGACGTTATAATGGCCAGGATGAAGGAATACCAGCAGATGGGTAACACGATACTCGCTGCTCAGGAGAACGCACGACTCTTGATGCTCTATCGGAAGCACAACTGTAACCCTGTAAAGATGATGATCATGCCTTTTCTACAGGTAAGCCTCTCATTATTATTATTAATTTATTTATTTTTTATTTTAAGTTTCCCGTCTTTATTTCGTTCTTTATTGCTTTGCGTCGAATGGCACAAGCTCCTATAGAATCCATGAAAGATGGCGGATTGTTTTGGTTCACTGATCTAACTCTCCCTGATCCTTACTATATACTGCCAATAACCTCTTCTTTATTGTTCATGGCTAATATTGAGGTTATTATTATTATTATTGTTATTGTTGCTATTATTTTTTATTTTTGTTATTATTAGTTAGGAGGTGAGGCAGGTGTCACTAATCCTCAGATGGAGAAGATGAAGTTGTTCTTCAGGGTAATGGCTGTTGCTTTGGTGCCATTAACTGCCACCTTTCCAACTGTATGTCACCAACAATTTTATAATACTAACAAGATTTATTTTGCATTTTAAAATAATAATTATTAAAATCTCCTTCTTCCAGGCTTTATTCATGTATTGGATAACAGCCTCCTTTTACTCAATGGGGCAGATATTAGTCCTTAAAGTCCCTGCTGTTCGTACAAGACTGGGCATACCCACCATTGTCAATGATCCATCTGCTACAGACAACTCTTTATTCAAGACAGAGGATAAAACTAGTACAAGTAGTCAAAAGAAAAAGCCTTCTGAAGGAATGGTGTCTTCCATTAGAAAAAGTAAGTACATGTATATAGAACCTGTTTTTATCATAGGAGAATCAATTGATTCTAAAGAATGTATTTGTCCCTAATAAAATGTAATGGTGACTAGGGTCTTTGGCAGATTATTTAGAAGTTTTTGCTGGATCAATTTATTATTATTATAGAGTTGGTCAAATGTTGAGCTGTTTACATCAGGAAATGTTTGATACTATCATTGTTATTCTGTATGTGTATGTAGGTATGAAGCAGTCCTCACTGATTGCTGAAGCAAAGCAAAAGACTCATGTAGCAAAGAAGAAATACAACAAGCAACTGAAGGACAAGAACCCAAAACTGTATGACAAGCCACCTCATTTAAGATGAACAGCAATGACTGTGTCCATTAATTGTGTACTTTATGTTTTACACTGTTGTCTAATTATTTAAGAGATGAGATGGTACTATACTGTAGCTAAATATTACAGAATGTATAGTGTAGCCTCTTTATTAAGGACACCATTAGGCCCACACTACCTGTCCTTAATACATGTACAGTGTATCCTCTTTATTAAGGACACCATTGGGCCCACATTACCTGTCCTTAATACAGAGATAGGGTCGTATAAAAGTGATCACATTATTAATGTGTGCTCTCAAACTGTACGTACCAGCTGGCTCTACCTGGTCCGCTCTTTAAAAGGCACTGATATTGTTTGATATTTGGTAGCAATAAATGAATCCAGTCATTGTGTGACTGAGACCCTCTTCGCCTGCTACCAACAATAAAAAAAACTAATGACCTTTATTAGTAACAAACATGGAATCCATATGTTACATCACTACATAGATTGAACTTGAAGAATTGATATTAGAATTGTAAATTGTAAGTATATGACACACAAAATGAAGACAAGAGAAAGATGAAAGGAAGAAGTAGATCTACATGTGTATACATATGAATTAGTGTCATGATGATGAAGGACGTGTCATTTGTCTGTGAGCAAGATAAGCGTTCACTTCGACAGGGAAAGATGACTCCAGCTGTCTCACTAGCTCATCACGGAACATCTGTTCAACAAGAAATAAAATGGAAGACATTGTTAATAACATATCAGTGTACTTTATATGTCTCTGTCTTCCTTTGAACTGCTTGATAGTCCCCAAGTGTCTTTTCTAACTGATGCTGCGTGAATAGATCAGGATTACGACCATCATCAACGTAACTGAGACAAATTGATACAAACACAAGATCAACATGTAGTCCAGTGACTGGTATTAATTAATTTTGCTATGTAGATAAAGTATTATTTCTCACTTCAGTACTTGTACTGGTATATCAATGTCACTGAAATTGTCTTTCTCCCTGTCCAGCATTCTCATATGTTCCACAGCAGTATTACTATACAAAATGAAGACAGTGAAAGCAGAATAGACTATCATGAAGTAAGGCCTTCTCTTACAGTCTCTCGTTAAGAACTCCCTGTCCATTTTGTTGAAAGTTGCCAGCTATTACCCCCACTACCCTGAGGTTCTCAATAAAAGACTCCAAACGATCCTCAAGCTCTTCTAACTTACTACTAGGACCAGCAGCCATCTTGAAGAGAAAACCTGTCCCTGACTGACAGTCCCTCGGTGCACCCGGTTCGTACACTGTCTTTTCTGGTCACAATAGATAGGAAAAGTTCGGAACCCTCCCATCACACATGACTGTAAAAGTTCCGGTTATTAACTAGTTATGTATTAAATTTAACCCCTTCTTTATAGGAATGGCTGCTGGAAAGAAGGCCTTTAGTACTGTATGCCATTATGCATCGGAGCAAGCCACATGAAGGTTGCAATAAAGGTGATGGTATATTTAAAACTTCAGTCTTCACCACTGATGATTTCCTGCAGCCTAGCACCTGGTTTTTAAAAGAGGTAGCCCTACTTGTGTATTGTGTAAATATCCTGAACTACATGTATGCTATGCAT